CACAATCCACGGTCACACGGACATGCGATGTTGATGAGCACGCTAATGCGTTGTCGCCTATGATGATGTTGGTGACGATGATTATGCTTATGATGAAGTTGAGGATCACGACGACGGTTGTGATGATAGTATATTGAAGGCGATGGTGAGTATGCTGACCCTGACAGTTAACAAGCTCACACTCGATATAGGCTCTTCGGTGCTCGCTTGGGAGATTAAGCATATTTAAGCATCTTCTTCTGCAGTATTGTGGAGGATCTCGAGTGTAGCAGTCTACCACATGGTCGGAGTACAAAAAAGCCTCCCGATTGGGTAGATGGTTGAGGCTCTCAAGTCTTAAATCAATCTCAAGGGCATTTCGCCAGATACCTAACTGGAGACCCGTCATCTCACGACCGGGCACCCGGGCACGCGGGCCCCATAAGACCTTACTCGAAAAGTGCTAATGCATTGTGATTAGGCACCGCTCCTCCATTGGGGAGCTGTATCTCTGAACGTCTGATGGCCTTGAACAAACGCCGCGCGTAGCTTGACGACCGCGCGCAGGAGCCGCAGGTGGAAGTGCTCCCATCGACCTTCTCGTGTGGTTTAATGGCCTTTTGTGTGATCTCAGCCTGGTCAAATGCTCGGGGCAAGAATCAGAAGGTTGCACGAGCAGCTTCTTTGTTGGACGATATGGAAAGCATGAAGCAGGAGGAAGAAGAAGAAGAACAGCTGAGGAAACATGGAACAAATGCTTTATTTTTGCGTTAAATTACCAGTAAGATCGGATTCTTTGTGGTTGATGTTTGCATTTTCCAGCTCTTCCATGCCCTTCATGCGTGCATGTGGAGAAAGAAGCGGCCCAATCGCGCATGTTCGTTCGTTTCCGTCCTTTCCTCCGAGGAAAGGTGGCGAGGCACGCTCCACTGGTAAGGGCAACAGGGAGGAGATCAAGGATTATATGGATCATAGCTTTGAAGAGGCCGCCTCTTAGTTTGAACTAGAGACCTCCGGGTGGCCTTCGGAGCAACTGACTCGGCACGGGGCACTGCGAAAAATGCCTTGGTCAATTTGACCAGTTGCGCAACTGCAAGTGAAAACAGAAGTTGCGAGTCGTTTTGCCAAGTTCATTTTGGCAAAATACCCTTCTCCAAGTACCTCCTCAGAAGGTATTTGGACCCTCCAAACCCACCCCAAACACCTTCTCAGAAGGTACTTGGAAGCCTAGGGTGCATCAGTTACCCATTTTCTGGGCCGCTTTTGGTTGCCATTTCCGTTCGGAAGGATCCATCGAAACCGATGCTTCGTCTGAGAAGCTTCCACGTGGACCGTGATGACCGTGGACCGTGGGGATGCGAGGGTTGGGTACTGTATGTCCCTGTAAGCTGTAACAGTCAATGAAAGATGATCACTACCTGAACCCGACCTTCGGACGTAATTACTTCACTGGAACATGGGACATGAGTGTGTGACATGACCCTATTATAAGTCTATCTCTATATATTTTAATATTTATAGGCTGGCGCTTACATGTATATAATATATGTACCTCTATTCCGAGGTACGCACTGAGACTCCAGGTGCTTTAGAGACAGGCCTGTAATCATCCACCGGTTCTATCGGTGGAGTGGGTCTACCACGGAGTTGGCACGGCCTGGTCATAAGGATTTGGAAGAACTGGCCAAAGAGGTTGAGAAGGAGGAGATGAAGGATACCTCTGCCTTTCAGACTGCACGGTTTGTGGGGCCGAACGGATGTTCAGTTGCACTGATTGCAAGCAATCGACAACGAAGGCCATTTCAGGTGGACGAAATGTTGTTGCAGTGGCGGTGTGAACGGAGATCCTGTCCTGTTCTCACTGAGGCTCGTCAAGTCAAATATGACCTCTTCCCCTCCAAGCAGTACGTGTTTTACTTGGCCAAGAAGAGTCATGATCTAATCAGCGAAGCGCCGGCATGGCTCCACCGGCGGATGCAAATGGAACAAGGAGGTAGTATAACTGGACCCGACTTCAAGTACTCTAGAGAATGGGACATGACCCTCTAAAACAGGGACTTGTACTCATTTTCCGAGGTACCAACTAAGACTCCTCCATGGTAGACATGCAAAATTGCCAACGATGGACATGTATACCAGCACCTTCGAACAGGTCTCCTTTGGAGGGTTGTTAGGCCCTAACAGGTTTCAATGGGTGACCTGTGAAGTCGGTGCTGGTCGGGGATTTGGGTTTGCATTCGTCGCAGGATAGCGATCCCCGAACAGGGCCAAAGGATGATCTCGAGCCACGAAAAAGGGGTCTCCCTGGATTCTATGGGCCTTTGGCCCTAGGGATCCAGCCGTACCGAACCTCAGAAGGTACGACTGGACCCTCCAAACCTACACAATAGTGTCTCCAATCACCGTACCTGAGAAGGTACTTGGATCCCTATAGGGTAGTTATTTAATGATAGACAATCCATGCATGGAATAGTTACATACATGGTTTACCTCGACTGTATGACTATGACCCATCCGTGTAAGCAGCGGAGTGTTTCGAAGGAAAAAGGGCGTGCCTAGAAAAGAAGGTCTTCCACCCTCGAAGATCATCTGGCTGTTCATGTTTGTTACCTTTCTGGGAT